CAGAGGACCCAGGTTCGATTCCCAGCACCCACATGGTGGCTACAAACCATCCTTAACTCCAGTTCCAGGGGAATCCAAAGACCTCTTCTGACCTCCGCAGCATTGCACAACATTACCCGTAAAATAAAAAAATAAAATAAATAAATAAAGATATTTATCTTTCCATATCTTATTTGTGTTTCCAATTCACATTTCTCAGTGCCTACAAGAAAAGAAAGTAACCAAAAATATTTGTTAAATGAAAGGACACGTGATGTAAGTGCTTTCCTATAAAAGTTTATTACAGCTTCAACATCTAGTACAAATGGCCTAACTTTGAAGATGTAATATATCTAAAGCTAAGTCACTTTCTGTAAGATAGGGTGTGGACAGTTTTGGTCATTTAGCTTTGTCACAATAAAATATTTCGACTGCCTGGCATGGATGGTCAGGCCTCTGCCCTTCCCTGCTCAGCCACCTCTCCAAAGCTCCCACAGCTGGAGGCGTAGCTTGGTCCGGAGGGCTGGCAGGTGGGTGGAGCTTCGTCTTCAGTAACAGGCAAGATCACTCCAGATGCAAACAGCAGGCTTCCTTCTTCTTAGAACAGTAACCCACTTGCATTTCCATAAAATTACAATATTCTTGACAGCGGCCTTCACTTTTCCTGCAGTCGACAATTTTGTAATTTGGTTCAGGTTCTGTATTTTTAAAAATGTCCAAATTAGCCTTTAAAAATTACTTCAAGAATCAATCAGTGGTCACTTTAGCCCTTAAAGATGTGATGTGGGGTGGTAATGGATAGGAAATAGCTTCTATATGTGAAAGTTTCACATTCTAAACTAGCAACACAAGTCTAGGCATACGGCTCTGTTCCTTTAAAGTCCCCTCAGTTTTCAAACTGACAAAACGGGAGAGGGAATCATGCCTCATAGCACCGTCAGATAAATCCACACATGCCTGGCACTGAGCCTGTTTAATTTGTGGTGGTTCAGTAGCATTTCATTTTCCCTTCCCTTGGGACTATTACCAGTCCAGGAAGTTTAGAACTGCAGATGAATTCCAAAGGGACAGAGGTCAGGATAGGAAAAAGCAGGAATTAGAGTTGGTGGGACTTTAATAATTCAGTGTCACCAGGAATGCAATTTTTCAGCACTCACTTGTCCTCCTTGTTCACGGAGCTTCTCTCTACTTTTCTCTGTTTCAGGGTCAGCAACAGCTCTGAAGTTAAGAGTATTTCAGAAACTACCATCTCTTCCAGGCCTTATGTATTTGAATCTAGCCCTGGGCTTGGGTTCAGGGGACAGAGAAGAAGCCTGGAGCATACCAGAAGAGTCCAGAAGACCACCCTGGGCTCACTGCTTGCCATTCCCTGTCTTCACTTGACTAGGCAGACAGCACAGTCTGTCCTCTGCCCCCATTCCTAGAAAACAGGAAACATTCCCAGAGCCTCATCTGACCCCTAGCACTTAGCTGGCATCCAATAAGTTCCTACAGAGTAAATGAATTTCAAGACCAAAGGAACAAACAGGGCTCCAGTCAGGCAGGAGGACAAGCATCTCCTCTGGCTACTGCTTGAGTAAAGTTGGAGATTACTGTAGTGAGCTTAGACAATTCACCTCTTGGTCCCTCCAGACAGCTATGTTTCCTAACACTCTCAGTGATCCCGTGTCACCAGAAGCTGTAAGATCCCCCGGGGTTTTCTGACAGGTAGAACAGACTGAGCTATCCACAGCAAGTTTCCTCAAACAACTCTGCTCACCTCACCCCATCCACATAGTAATCCCCCATCACACTCACTCAGCCTTCCCAAGTGGATGAGTTTGTCATGCATGTTGACACTTGACTTACCATGGTACGGGGGGGTGCGCGGTGGTAAGTAGCGTTTTACTTGGCGATGTAATGAACGAGACCAGTTTGTTTCTTGCCCAGGAGATCCTTCATTTGGGTCACTGGAAGGTTCAGTGGCTAGGTAATTAACAGATGGGGCTCTGGACAACCATGCTGAAATTAAGGATATTCAGAGGTCTCTATTCAGCAGACCCAAGAGGCTAGGGCATCTTTAGGGAGTGAGCAAGGGCGACAAGGGGTCAGAGTGCGCTACAATGGGTGCGAGTGCTCTTTGTGAGCGTATTTATGCACATGAGCTTGTGCATCTGTGTGGAAAGAGATGGGGAAAGGGTGACATGTGCAAAGAAGGTGTAGGGAAGAGTGGGTCTGAGTACCTCCTCTGAGCCAAGCCCAGCATTTTCCTTGGTCATAACCAATGCAGTTGCCAAGATTCCCTAAATCTAAGACTTAACAGCCTTCTGTGCAGCATAGTAAAATCAGAGGAAGACCCTTTCCCTTTGGAAAGCTAGTATCACCAGCACATTCAAACTGTCTGTAAGAACCCATTTCAGAGACTTCTGCTGCAAAGCCCAGTCACAAAAGTGTGGTCCTAAGATTTGGTGCTTTAGGACCCACCCTAGACTTCCATGCACAGAGTGACAGTTGCAGAGATACTGACCCCAAAGCCCAGGCCACTTTTCTCTTTTACCTGGAATCATCAAGGCCGCGAGGAGAAGGCTGGCAAAGGAGGGGAAGAATCTACGCTTCATGACTGTGGAGGACACTGCAAAACAAGGCCTCCAGGATTTGGCAACAGCAGTTTATCTAGTTGGGCTGGAAGAGTGGGCTGGGGCACCGGAAGAGGCACAACCAGAAAGAATGCACAGTGACAGATGTTACTCATAGGTGCATTAGTTCCCACTGTTCCCAGAACAAACTTTTGAGTTATATTTTTGGGAAGTAAATAATATGCCTGAATGCCTTCGGTAGGTTTGATGATTGACTATTAATTTCTATTCTTATCCCCTCTGCTCATTTTCTGCAAAGCAGAAGGTACAGGGCAGGAGGATTCAGATGGGTTGCTTACCTTTGAGCTAGGATTGTATGTTTCTCTTTGTCTTGGAAAATAAAACTTTCTTTTTTATTATTTTTATTTTATGTGTATGAGTGTGTTGCCTGCATGTAAGGTACAACCGTGTTGCGCAAAGACTGTGGAGGCCAGAAGAGGGCATTGGATCCTCTGGAAAGGGAGTTATGGACAGTTGTTAGCTACCATGTGGTTGCTGAGACTCGAACCCCAGCCTTCTGGAAGAACAGTAAGTGTTCTTAACCGCTGAGCCATCTCTCCAGCTCCTAGAAAGTTAAACTTACTTCTAATGCTTAGATTGCTGGGTGTTCTGTCAAGATGAAAGTGATACTCAGCAACAGTTTGAATCATGCACTTTGGGGCCTGGAGGGTACACATGGTTGGGATGACCCAGTTCAGGGTGAGAAGAAGCCTGCTTGGCTGTGACTGTCACTCAATAGTGAGGGGCTGTTTCAGAGTAGCAGGCAGTGAGGAGCAGTGTGTGACGTGAGGCTGAGCTCTGCATCTGGACACAGGTGGATCAGCCTCTTTACTGTCTGGGGTTTGTGTGGCTGGGCAGCTCTGTGAACTCAGAAAAAAAAATCAAAGCTTAGAACAATGGTAGAAGCAGAGTGGGCCAGGAGTACAGGCTTCGACACACAAGGATGCATTTTATAGCATGATTTCATAGGTCATTTATTCAAAAATAAGAAATAGGGGCTGGAGAGATGGCTCTGTGGTTAAGAGCACTGACTGCTCTTGTAGAGGACCCAGGTTCGATTCCCAGCACCAACACGGTGGCTACAAACCGTCCTTAACTCCAGTTCTAGGGGAATTCGACGCCCTCTTCCAACCTCTGAGGCATACAACACAGGTGCACTCACATACAATGCAGGCAATACATTCATACGCATAAAATAAAAATAATAAATAAAATCTATTTCAAAGATGAGAATTAAAGTTTGGACAAGGAATGTGAGGAACTGGCAATACAGCAATATGAGTGTTTAAGTGGAGGAGAAGCTAGTTGGTGTGCGTTATAATCTGAGTTAACAAATATAGAAGAGAGACTGCAAAGCATACACCAAGCAGCAAATATATCTAAAGCAATAAATACTTGCTAGGGTTAGCTAAGTTATGCCAGGTCTGTTTCTTATGCAGCAGGTTGCATACCTGTACACTAATGCCCAGTCTTTGTGCAAAGAGCCTCAAAGCATACGAAGTCAAATTTTCCCAAAGAAGAGGCAGCAGGTGATGAGCTGTAGGCAACACACCACTCCCAGTATCTCCTGACACACCTTCTTCCCATCAGCTTCCTTCTAAGTGTTTTAAGTGAGTTTCTGAATGAGACACACAGTCCTGTCTGGCCCAACCTTCAACATCCCACACGAATGCATAACAACCACCTCTGCATGACCATATCCTGTCTGTGGTGGGACCCTGCCCTGAAATCTGAAATTTGACAGGTTGTTTTGTGATCATAGGTTGAGGGGAACTGTTTTTAGTTAGGTAAATTACTAACATAATTGAAAAGACTTGGCACGTGATTGTAACAGAATTCTGTAGAAGCACCTGTGGGAAATACCACGGGAAGGACGAGGAAGAATTAAGCTGAACACCCTCCTTCTGAGGAGAACTATCCTGTCTCTATCACTGCAGACAACTGAGAAGGGAACAAAGGAGGGCAGGCCAGACCCTGCAGAGCCTAGGAGAGCTGCCCATTAGTGGGGAAGGAAAGACTGGACGGCTTCCCAGAGTCAACGCTGCTGGTTTGGTCTCAGCACAGCCAGATTTGTTTGGTGACACCAAGACAGTTATTGTCCTTCACTGTCCTGTGGATCAGCTTTTATAGAGAAGGAATGAGACTAGATGATGCTCCATACCTATTCCAAATCTACTGTTACATGACTATGCTCAACAGAGGATTCAGAAAAGGGATGACATCTTAGACTGACAGGTCTCAGAGGACCAACCAAGTGCCTGCTATTTTTGTTATTAATAAATTGCCTTTTGAATATTAACAAACTGTTCCTCTCAAGTCTGACAGTCTAACATGATAGGAAAAAATATGAAACTTAGCATGCAGAGCTACTCAGAAGGAGGCAGAAGGGAGAACGCACATGTCTCCACAGGTCAGTCATACCTGTATCTGCTCTACAATGTAGTAAGAAGGGTTATGAGTCTCATCACTTAAAAGTCTAAGAGCAATTCCGAAATGGGCTCCTGGACGCTGCCTATGACTTCTGCCTTGTATGGTCTTCTTCTTAGTCTAAACCTCTTTTCAGGAGGTAGTTTTGTTACTATCATTTACAATTTCTACTAGCAGATTAAATGAAGCAAAGAGGTAAATGCTATAATCGAAGGATCTTTCTTAATCGCTCAGGACTTACCTTCTTCAGTCATGTCCCACCTCTGTCTTCTTCTATGGCATATGTTTCTAGCTGAGTGTCTCTTTCACCTGGAGGTCTTGGTAAAGTAAAATAGAAACAGCCAAGAACAGTACAAGAACATTGGTGGCAGGGTAGCTGGAGAGACCCCAGCACAAGCAGCCGCCCTCTGACAGAATGTGTGTGTTCTGATCACTGACGCTTATCCCAGGCCTGTATTCCTTGACATTCACCAAAACACAATGCAGGGAAAATTGTTGGGATGACATCAGAGGTGCTACCTAAATACTCAACGAAGGGCACAATCACCATCTCTGTGTCAGTCCCCATCTGCTGCAAGAACCTTGTCAGGTAAGAGTTGAGGGATGTACTAATCTATGGATACAAGAGGTCATTGAAAATCAGTTTCACATTATGTCTATTTAGCAGAATGATAGCAGTTAAATTCTCCCTGTGGCCTGTGATTTGCCTAGCCACAGGTTTTCACCCTTATAACAGTGTCAGGTGTGGGGTCATTATTGTGAAGCAGGCCTTAAATCCAATTAGAAGGTCATTGGTTACTCCCATAATAGTCATGCCACTGTGGCACCACTGGACATATTTTGGCAAGCCGGTTGCCACTGTAGCTGGCCGGGTTCACAGATGGACAAAGTTAATGATTACCTTCTCTGTCAGTACCATGCACAGCACCTTCTAGTACTTTGAATGTTATGTAGCTTCAAGGTCAGTACCAGCTTGGCTTTTTCCTTGTTTGCTCTGTGACTCGGGTATGTAGAGTTTTAATAGGATTTTATCGTCACATTCTAGTGTGAACCAAGTGCAATGGCAGTAGCCCTGTTTGAGGGTCTATGAGGCGTCTCTAGTCAACAGTCCAAAAGAGACAGTCCGTTCCTGGCACTGGGTTTTAATTAGCTAGTCTACTAAGGCCCCTGAGCTCCTACCTTTAGACTGTCTTTAGACTCTTTATTTTGTGTGTGTGCACATTGAAAGAAGCTTCCATAGTAGGTTTCCACGTGACTTTCAAAAGGACTTTAGTGTTGAATTACCCCTCCTTTCAGTCCCTCTTCTGTCCACTCCATTAAACCCATCCTCTATGAGTCCCCTTTCCCATTTACACCTCTGCCTTCTATTTCTCTCCAGTAAACCACCACCTATGGCACCTTATTCACACGTGTGTAATGTGTTGTGAACATATAGCTAGTCCCCTCCTATTTTCATGTCTTATTTTATGTGTGCATGTGTACATGTGAGCATGCACAGATCTTGTTCAGGTTGTGTGTGTGTGTGTGTGTGTGTGCGCACATATGAGCATGCACAGGTCTTGTTCAGGTTGTGTGTGTGTGTGTGTGTGTGTGCGCACATATGAGCATGCACAGGTCTTGTTCAGGTTGTGTGTGTGTGTGTGTGTGTGTGCGCACATATGAGCATGCACAGGTCTTGTTCAGGTTGTGTGTGTGTGTGTGTGTGTGTGCGCACATATGAGCATGCACAGGTCTTGTTCAGGTTGTGTGTGTGTGTGTGTGTGTGTGCGCACATATGAGCATGCACAGGTCTTGTTCAGGTTGTGTGTGTGTGTGTGTGTGTGTGTGTGCGCACGCGCATATGAGCATGCACAGGTCTTTTGCAGGCAGCCATAGGTACTGTGTGTTTATGATTTTATCTGCCATGTCACCAACAGAAGACAACATGTCACAGGATGCCTCCCCGTCCTCTAACTCTTACATTCTTTCCATTCCATTTTCTGAGATGTCCCCTGGACCTTGGGGTATAATATAGATGTCCCATTTAGGGATCAGCACTCAAAACTCACTTCTTTTCAGCACTTTGGCCAGTCCTGAGTCTGTATTAACTACTGCCCACTGCAAACAAGAAGCTTCTCTAATCAAGGTTGAGAACAGCACTAATCTACAGGCATAAGTATAAATATTTAGGAGGTAGTTTGACACGAAGTCTACTTAGCAAAACAACTATAGTCATTTCCCCCATAGGACCTATGACATCCCCAGCCATAGGTTTTTGCTCAGGTGGGGGGGGTACCACTTCTGTGATTCTCAATGCTCACCTTCTTCTCTTTCCGAGTACAGTCCATCCTATCTTACCCTAACTCCATTCACAGAGCCACAGTGAGAAACCTGGAGTACTAATAATAGTATGGGTACTATCTACTATTATGTCAGCCCTGCTCTGGTCATGGGGAGCTCTCTTGACCGGTGAAACTTTCACACATCTTCTTTTTCTTGAATACTTCCTCTTGTTTGGGCACTAAAATTTTCTCTGAGCTTATCTTGTACATATCATACCCAGGCCTAGGAGTCAG